TAATAAATTAGATTGGGCAACAACTCAATCCCACTGTGGCCATAGTTTTAGTGTCATTGTCATTCATTGAATTGCACCATGAGATAACTTCTCCCATACCCGGGAGTGATGAATCCTCTGTCGATCCACCATAGTCTTGATACACTCCTTGATGCAGTCAATCACTACCTTATTGACAACTCTGAATAGAACTGTGTTGGGCTAATGTCAAACTACACCAATCGATGTACAAAGCGCTCCAGTGACCTTAAGTCTAAGGATCACATGCACTACCATTCGTTAGAGGATTTATTCTATAGACACTAGGGTTACCATCCATATGGAATCCTTTGGTGGGTCTGTCTAGTGAACTTGCCTCTAGTAAGCACCCATGCATTGCACCAAGTTGTCGGCAAACAACCTTGACAAGTGAGATCAGTCATTGTCTTTTGACAGGGTCGTTCAACACTATGATAGCCTTACCGTATTATCTGTGTCCTTGGTCAAAATAATACTAGGGTTACGGAAGTTTCTAGAATGGCCACCATATGTGATAATTGGGTTCTCACTATCAAGATTTGAAACACTTGATACCCTCATCACGATTCTACCATCATAAGGACATATATCATTATATACACAATATAAGAGAATATGCCATTTTTATTGATAAATAAACATTTATTACAGAGTCAATTTTATAATAATTGATTGGCTCTAGGGCACCTACTCTAACATATAATTCATGTTTTAGTAGTATTAGGATTTACATTCATGTTTTAGTAGTATTAGGATTTCAATTCATTGTTTTTGTGGCATGAGGATAGTACAAAAATATATATCAAAGAGTTATTGCATAATTGAGTGATTAGATTTGACAACTTCACTACACTAATCAAATGAATATTAATGTGTTCCTCAATCATCCAAATGAATAACAAGTCATGTATGATTTAACTGAAGAAAAAAACATTACTAGAATTAGACAAGAAGAGAAAGGAGATAATCTTGAGGATGATAGTATGAAAATACCAAAAGTTTCGTATCAATAAGCTCTAAACATACTTGAGAAGTTAGATATATTTTAGCTTCAATAAGAATGTGTCTATGTTGACGACTTATTATAAACCCGTAAGATAAAAGAGGTGGTAACAACTTTATAGTATAAATCATTGTCAAACAACTTTAGATAAATATTTTATTTCATCTTAAACTTTTAATGTTACATATCATATATTTTTTGCAATATACATATAATTATTACTATGTGGAGGTAAGTTCCTTAAGACGAGACCTAGAAAAATTATAATTTATTACAATGTGAAATTTATTCTTATCTATAACTGACCCAAGTTGGGGTTAGAGTTTTTTATGACTATATGGAGGTTATTCCTATATAGAGTATCACTATAGAGAAATTCTACTGTATTTATATTTCATAACATTTAAAGTAAATTGGTTTGACTTTTGAGTATCTACCTTTACAAAGTAATGGAGTTTGTAATTTGTAATTTTATTTTTGTTAACAAGTGCCAGGTGGGGGGGTATTTATAAGTTTTTAAGGGTTTTTTTTCCATTTTAAAAACTTTTGGGGGATCATCGAATTTTACAGGGTACTTGGATCCGGAACCGTCAGTTTTAGTTCCAAATTTTAAGGAACCGTCGGTTTTAGTTCTGATTTCGGTTCTTTTAAAAAATGCAGGGTATCAGGAACTGAACACCCCTAATTTACTATATACAACACTTTGTTACATTATGACAAAATTATTGTATCAAATTATTTAATTTAATATCATACCATAAATAACACGTTAATTATTGTTAATTGATAAGACAGAATTTGAACATTAATTTGATTTCACAAGTCTTCCACATGCTTGAATAAAAATGGAAGGTGGATAAAAGAAAGTTACTGCAAACCTACAGGAGAAAGTGGATGACACTGGATGTAACAAGGCTCACCAGTCACCAACACAACACTTTTTTCTGCACTTTTTGAGCGTCTTAGCTGGAAGTACACGTGTTCAAAACTCCGACATAGCCAACCAGAAAAATCTAATCTATACCTATTAACATTTTAACACTTTCACATTTTTCTCATGCTCCCCTGCTTTTACTGTACACCTTGCTATACCTTACCAAACTCTTTTATGTCATTACGTCATGCTCAAGCTCCAATCTCCTCTTTCGAAATTTTAATCAGAGGCCCCATCTGATTCTGATCATGCCATACGTCACCGTTTGATGAAATACAAATATATGATGTTTTATAATAATATGGTCACACATGCATTATGCTAATCATTTGAACTTACACTTTTCAAATAATTAAATGAATAAACAAAAGTATATAGTAGTTGTAGATTATTCACGGTTGGATGTGTGATCCCAATAATGTTATATAGAAGTTAATTAAATATGACCACTGGGTATCAAGATTCCCTTAGTAACGGCAAGCAAATTGAGAAGAGTCAGCTTAAAAATCTGACACCCTCAATGTTTGAATTGTAGTGTGGAGAAATGTTTTCAACGACAGATTGGGCCCAAGTCCTTTGGAAAGGGCCATACCCAAGCTCTCCGGAGCCTCCCACGGAATTTTCTTCTTCATTAGGGACTTTGGTAATTTTTCGGCGGTGGTCCATGGTGGTTGGCCTGCTGTTGGCGGTGGTGGCTGGGTGACAGTGGTGGTGGTGGCTGGGTGGCAGTGGTGATCCGTAAATAATTTTAAATATAAGGACATTATTGTCCAAAATTTTAATCAAACAAGGGTAAAATTGAAATAGGATATTAATGTAAATTTATTTTAAAGTAGGGGTATTATTGTCTAAAACTTTTATTAATAAGGGATAAAATTATAACAAAAAAAGATAACTTTAGTAATCTCATAATACCTAAGAAAATAGAGGTAATCAAATTACCTCTGATATTACTAATAGTAACTACTATTGGTATTTGAAGATTATCGGTATCTGATATTACTTGACAACCAAACATGGTAATCAAGTAATATAAGATGACATTACCCTAATAATCCTACTTAACCCCCAACCAAACGCCCCCTAAGGATTAATTGAGGTTCTTATAAAATGACCAAAACATTCACGGTGATAAAAAAAAATAGCTGATTTTGTTTAATCAAAATTAAGTGGATTATAATTTTGTGAAGGGACAAAGGGTGTCGGTGGAACTAGTACAGCTGTACAAGTCCCTTAAATAAGGGTAGGGTGGGTTGGACCTCATACTGTTCATGGGGTAGAGGAACGCGACCATATTTGGTGCATTTACTTCGGCTTTTATACAAACACTTAACCAACTACATCACCATGTTTGGGTTTGATTTGGTTTTCCAACTAAAAACGTTTCCTTTTAAAATATGGACCAGGCTTTCCATCGGCCCATCTTAACAAATTTTCAGTAAAATATGATTGAAATAATAATAATAAAAAAAATGATGTGAGCATCACTCGCTATTCATGGTGGTGATCAAACATTTATTCAGAAGCAAACCATCACACATATACATATGTATTAGTTGGCTTTGTAATATAACAATAATACGCACTAATCTTATCATAATAATACAAAAGAATATTTAAGCTTTTATTTTTGTGTTTTAAGGATTTAACATGAATTCATATTATGAGACATCACACATGTATATTAACAAAAGGATATTACAAATATTGAATTACCCGTTGCTCAACTACTGACACTTGTAAATATTAATGGATATAATTTTGTGATTCTTCAATTTAGCAAAGAGTATAGTACTCTTACAAAGTTTGAAGTAGCATTATCCATTAATTGTCATATTAGTTGTCTTCATTTAATTAATTTGTGATTTTACATACTCACTCTCTCTATCACAATGTGACATGTCACTTTGTATATACATTTTATAAGTATAGTATTATTCTTTAATAAATCATGTGTTGCTAAAGTCAAAAGCCTAATATACTTAAAACGGGAAATCAGGATTATGAATACAAATGTTATAACAATATAAAATTTTAAAACCAAAAATCATTATCTTATAAAATGAACGTGTATAGTGTTCTATAATAGCCAATACTTTATGTTTCTAAGTATGTGAAGAAACAAAGACTTGATAGAGTGGTAGGGAATAGAGGTGTCAAATGGGCAAGTATTTCGGGCTTGATCCATAAATATAAGGCTCACTCAACCTTAGGCCCAATCAGTCTCAGCATGTGTTGACCATGAAAATTGATCACAAATTTAAAATTTTAAGTAAATATTTATTTATTTATATACTAAAAGGGGAAAATAACTAAAGCAAGGCCGAAAATAAAAAAAAAGTCAAAATTTCTCTACGTCACCTGCGGTAAGCATTTCCATGGGAAAGTCAACAAAGGGCCTCTTAATTTCTGCCTCATTGCAAATCTAAAGTCAACAAAGGTCATCATAGTCAAGAGCAAGTGTAGACAAATATTTCCACTTCCGAGAATTTTGCAAATTCACCATTCATTTCTGCATTTATCCAATTTTGTTCATACGGTAAATTAATTAAAATTAAAATTAATGACTTAATTCATGTTTCCGCTAATGTATAGATGAGTTAATTAATTAAATAAATTGTCCAAAGTAATATATATTTATGGTCCTAACCATATTTGTTCTGACTTATTAAACAAAATTCGCGAGTTAAAGTGAGCATGAACACATAATATATTTAAATAATTAATGAAATTAAAGTGAAAACAAGAAGTAATTAGCTGACTTATTAAACTGACATTCTAATCACACGATCAGATAGGGTTAGCTATAATGAAGAGATAAAATCAATTGGTGTCTTCAAAAATTGACGTGGAGGTTTGAATTTATTGGGGGCTTGATTAACTGTTTAAAACTACCACATGAATGCCCGCGCGCTATAAAAACCTGAAATTACGATGAAGTGGACCCAGAATGTTAATTAACAGAAGATTAATCACGCCAGCTCTCTCGGCGTTATTCCTTTATATAGCCCCACGCACAACTCTAACTTACTACCACCAAGCTCTCCCAAGAGAGAAGAAACACAAAGGAAAAATGTCAAACCTTTCAATCTTTCTTGTACTTTCCTTCTGCTCTCTTCTAATAATCCCAAATTTGGTTTCTTCTTCACCAGTTCAAGACCCTGAGCTAGTTGTACATGAAGTACACAGGTAATTAGTGCACATTACTCTGGTTAAAACCATGCTTAATTTATATTTGGTTAGAGTTAATTTGTAGTTGTTTCTTTTGACAGGAGTATCAATGCGTCTAGGAGGAACTTGGCCTATTTGTCATGTGGAACTGGGAATCCGATTGATGACTGCTGGAGGTGTGACCCGAACTGGGAGAGAAACCGTCAAAGGTTAGCTGATTGCGCCATTGGATTTGGGAAGAATGCTATTGGGGGAAGAAACGGTCGGATTTATGTGGTCACAGATTCCGGCAACGATGATCCTGTGAATCCGAAGCCGGGAACTCTCAGGCATGCTGTGATACAAGATGAGCCATTGTGGATTATATTCAAAAGAGACATGGTGATTCAGTTGGAGAAAGAGCTAGTCATGAACTCGTTCAAGACTATTGATGGTAGAGGTGCAAGTGTTCACATTGCTAATGGACCATGCATAACCATTCACTATGCCACCAACATCATCATTCATGGCATTCACATACATGATTGTAAGCAAGGAGGCAGTGGCAATATTAGAAACTCTCCGGAACATTCCGGGTGGTGGAAAGTATCGGACGGCGATGGGGTGTCCATCTTTGCAAGTCAACACATTTGGGTTGACCATTGCTCGCTATCGAACTGCCATGATGGACTCATCGATGCCATCCATGGATCCACTGCCATCACCATCTCTAACAACTACATGACCCATCATGATAAGGTCATGCTCTTGGGCCACAGTGATTCGTATACTCAAGACAAGAACATGCAAGTCACTGTTGCCTTTAATCATTTTGGAGAAGGGCTAGTTCAGAGAATGCCAAGGTAATTTATATATTATGTATTATTATTATTTATCAATGTTGCCAACTATATAGTATAAATATTTATAATGTTTTCACAATGAGTTTTGCAGGTGCAGGCATGGGTATTTTCATGTGGTGAACAATGACTACACTCAGTGGGAAATGTATGCCATTGGTGGAAGTGCGGCTCCTACTATTTATAGTCAAGGCAATCGATTTTATGCACCCAGTGAGAGATTTAAGAAAGAGGTAGTTATAAATTTATAATTACTCTCTCCATGCACGAACACTTTTACGTTGCAATCTTCTATGTCAAATTTGATTTTATATGTATAATGCAGGTGACCAAACATGAGGATGCACCGGAGAGTGAATGGAGGAATTGGAATTGGAGGTCAGAGGGGGACTTGATGTTAAACGGAGCGTATTTCCGGCAAACCGGAGCCGGTGCATCTTCAAGCTATGCCAGGGCTTCTAGCCTCAACGCAAGACCATCTTCTCTTGTGGGTTCAATAACCATGAAAGCTGGTGCACTCAACTGCAGGAGGAACTCTCATTGCTAATATTTAACAGCATAATATTAAGCAAGATAAATGGATGAGAAGAATCATTAGTCAGGCTGTTAAATTAATTTAAAGTACTTGCAGTTTCTTTAATCAACTATCTATAATATATAGCAACCTCTACTTATTGCTTTAAAGGGCGCTATCCAAGGATTTTACTGCAATCCTTGTTATATATATGTCAAAGAAAGCGAGCGCAGAAGTGTTGCTTTAAATTAAAGTTTTCAATTAATTTTCCTGTGTGTCGGTATTCATGCATGCTGCAATCACTCACTTTTGCTCAGCAAGAAAACAGCTTAATTATGTGTGGCTGCTTTATTTACTTTTGCTCTCTAATCGTACTATCAAATTATGATGGCGGGTTTTCCTGTTTCTTCAGTTAATAACAGTAAAAAAATATGAACATTTAAGCACTTCTTGATGGCTTGATGTCAACCGTTCTAGTGATGGTGCAACTTCTTCAATCCTCATTATACATATGCATTCACAATGGGCAACCAAGTCAACAAGATGTACACGAATACGGAGTGTAAAAGAGAATTTATACATGCATTGCATGGCTCAGAAGTCAGACCTCCACCCAAGTCTTTAATGGAAGAATCGAGGAAAAAGAGGGCTCAACCTCAATCTCACCTAACTTCTTTTTCCGTCAATCATGCAAAATCATCAGCAGGACACTCTGTGGGTCTAAGGGGAAGGGAACAGTAATTCTCCATGAACTACTATTAATATATATTTCTCGTATGCAAAAACATATACTCAGTTCCTAAGGTCTCCACTTGGAAATATTGTCAAGGCAATTAATCCCTCCAGTACTTGTGATTCCACTCTGAAACCTTAAGATAGATAAATCAATTCTATTTATAAAAGGGTTCCATGTCAGGATGCTGATATATATGATGACTTTCTCTCCTGCTTATTCAGCGCCTGGAATCTGTCCTGGAATTAATGTACACGTCTTTTGATTTATTATATATGCATATCCCAAAGAAATTAAAGCTGCACACCGAAAGTTATAAGTTGATCATCAATATATGTTACACAAAGAGCAACAGTATCCGTGTAAAAACTACTCGAGCTTTTGGGAAAGGAAAAAAAAAAGTCAAGATTCTTATAAATTGTGCGGTATTATATATCTTTGTTGTAGGTGATTTAGCAAGAAAATTACTTTATAAAAGAAAAAAGATATTCTAAAATTAATTAACTAAAGAGGTGAAGACTTTCAAGAATTTTTTTTTTTCTCTTGCGTTTTCACTCATCTTAACAACAGTCTTATTACATTATTAAAGGCAGGTATTCCATCTCTTACATTAAGTCCAATGAACATTCTTACGTTATACACTCAATGGGGAGCGGGAACCTTGAGTGCATCGAGATATGCTGATAATCATGCAAGACATGAACACTAGATATGTATATCGTACTCAAAAGGTTTCCTCTCCACAAGCATTAATCCCCAATTCAAACTCCACAGCTACTCTAAAATTAAGCAAAACATGCAATACAACAATATTGTCTTTCCTACACTTCCACACATAAAACATTGTATGGGCAAAAAATCGTCTTGGGCCTTATGAGGTCCAAACATGAAACATCTACTACATGACCCAAGACCATAACTAAATTCCAGGTGGGCCTACGTCAAGGTTTATGTCATGGGTCAGACCCATGACACTAACCTAGCCTATCCAGTTTGGACCATCCAGATTAGGCCTCATCATTAGCCCACCTAAGGCCAGGCCTTTTGGTCCGTTATATCCTCTAAGGGTTCAGAATCCCACTAAAACCTTAATACATCTACTTCTTATTTGGGTTTTATCCTAATTCACCCAAGATCTTGCATCTTATGTGAATTAAGACTCTCAATCCTACAAAGGTAAGTAAATCAAGTTCTTTCTTATTTATTAGAACTCTGTCATTATGGACTCAGAGTCTAACTAGGATTCAAAGATCTTATGACCACTATATAAGGAGAGGTCCTACCTCTCATTAAGGATCCATGATTCAATACCACATGCTTGCAATCAAAGTTATTGCTCTTGAGAACTAGCACCTTAGCCGTAGCTCTATTCTCCGATTAGACTTTGGTAAACCCTTCATTCCCTTAGCCCTCACGAAATAACCTCATTCAACCTTACTAACTTGAGCATCGAAGTACCTATAGTAGACACCATATCGGTGTTTTACGAAAGCTTCGTGCTTATCTTCTTTGTGCGTAGGTTCAGTAGATTGTTAGTGGCCTCAACTTTACAAGATCAGACCTTATTCCGTAACCGTAGATTTTAACGTCTACAAAGTGCATTCACCACAACCAACCATTTCAAACCTCAATTCATCCAACACATAAGAGTTATGCAAAACACAAGCAACTATACACATATATACATATCGCATTCAAGATACCTTTCCTATCACAACCAATTTAATATACAATTACATTAGATTACAGGGGTTACATAAACAATACTATATCCATTCAAGATACTAACAAATACACGGGGTTACAATACATTACAATATATATACACACGATCTTCTTGCAGTTGGGCATTTGATACCTTTGTTTAGTAGTGCTACATTAATTCTTATGTGGGAGTTCATTTGGTTTAGAATTTAGTAAATTCATTTTTTTTAATTATAATTTAATATTACTTATTAGAGGTGGGCATTTGGGACTGGAACCCAAAAAGCCCACCCAGAAACCTAGGCTTAGGACTGGTCTTCGTGAGAACCGATCATAGGGGGTCTAGTCCTAAAACTCGGCCCAAACTGTGGAGGAGGGCCTGAGCCTTGGTTTGGGCCCTCCTCCAAGGCCCAGGCCCAAAACTTTATTTCATTTTTTCAAAATGATCTTTGGAAAATTTCCAAAAAACCCTTTTTTTTTTTTTTCAAATTTATAATAAATATGGGGGCTAAAAAAATGTTACAAAAAAAAATTGCATTGAGCATCCAATGGTCAATTTACCGTTAGTTGCTCAATCAACGGTCAACTGACCGTTGTAGCCAGTGGTCAGGTGACTGTTAAGAGGCAATGCAGTCACACATTTGGGTTGACCATTGCTCGCTATCGAACTGCCATGTGGACTCATCGATGCCATCCATGGATCCACTGCCATCACCATCTCTAACAACTACATGACCCATCATGATAAGTTCATGCTCTTGGGCCACAGTGATTCGTATACTCAGACAAGAACATGCAAGTCACTGTTGCCTTTAATCATTTTGGAGAAGGGCTAGTTCAGAGAATGCCAAGGTAATTTATATATATGTATTATATTATTTATCAATGTTGCCAACTATATAGTATAAATATTTATAATTTTTTCACAATGAGTTTTGCAGGTGCAGGCATGGGTATTTTCATGTGGTGAACAATGACTACACTCAGTGGGAAATGTATGCCATTGGTGGAAGTGCGGCTCCTACTATTATAGTCAAGGCAATCGATTTTATCACCCGTGAGAGATTTAAGAAAGAGGTAGTTATAAATTTATAGTTACTCTCTCCATGCACAACACTTTAACGTTGCAATCTTCTATGTCAAATTTGATTTATATGTATAAGCAGGTGACCAACATGAGGATGCACCGGAGAGTGAATGGAGGAATTGGAATTGGAGGTCAGAGGGGGACTTGATGTTAAACGGAGCGTATTTCCGGCAAACCGAGCCGGTGCATCTTCAAGCTATGCCAGGGCTTCTAGCCTCAACGCAAGACCATCTTCTCTTGTGGGTTCAATAACCATGAATCTGGTGCACTCAACTGCAGGAGAACTCTCATTGCTAATATTTAACAGCATAATATTAAGCAAGATAAATGGAAGAGAAGATCATTAGTCAGGCTGTTAAATTAATTTAAAGTACTTGCAGTTTCTTTAATTAACTATCTATAATATATAGCAACCTCTACTTATTGCTTTAAAGGGCGCTATCCAAGGATTTTACTGCAATCCTTGTTATATGTCAAAGAAAGCGACCGCAGAAGTGTTGCTTTAAATTAAAGTTTTCAATTAATTTTCCGTGTTGTCGGTATTTATGCATGCTGCAATCCACTCACTTTTGCTCAGCAAGAAAACAGCTTAATTATGTGTGGCTGCTTTATTTACTTTTCTCTCAATCGTACTGTCAAATTATGTGGCGGGTTTCTGTTTCTTCAGTTAATAACAGTAAAAAAATATGAACATTTAAGCACTTCTTGTGGCTTGAGTCAACCGTTATAGTGATGGTGCAACTTCTTCAATCCTCATTATACATATGCATTCACAATGGGCAACCAAGTCAACAAGATGTACACGAATACGGAGTGTAAAAGAGAATTTGGACCTCATACTGTTCATGGGGTAGAGGAACGCGACCATATTTGGTGCATTTACTTCGGCTTTTATACAAACACTTAACCAACTACATCACCATGTTTGGGTTTGATTTGGTTTTCCAACTAAAAACGTTTCCTTTTAAAATATGGACCAGGCTTTCCATCGGCCCATCTTAACAAATTTTAACTATAATATGATTGAAATAATAATAATAAAAAAAATGATGTGAGCATCACTCGCTATTCATGGTGGTGATCAAACATTTATTCAGAAGCAAACCATCACACATATACATATGTATTAGTTGGCTTTGTAATATAACAATAATACGCACTAATCTTATCATAATAATACAAAAGAATATTTAAGCTTTTATTTTTGTGTTTTAAGGATTTAACATGAATTCATATTATGAGACATCACACATGTATATTAACAAAAGGTTATTACAAATATTGAATTACCCGTTGCTCAACTACTGACACTTGTAAATATTAATGGATATAATTTTGTGATTCTTCAATTTAGCAAAGAGTATAGTACTCTTACAAAGTTTGAAGTAGCATTATCCCTTATCTGTCATATTATTTGTCTTTATTTAATTAGTTTGTGATTTTACATACTCACTCTCTCTATCACAATGTGACATGTCACTTTGTATATACATTTTATAAGTATAGTATTATTTTTTAATAAATCATGTGTTGCTAAAGTCAAAAGCCTAATATACTTAAAATGGGAAATTAAGATTATGAATACAAATGTTATAACAATATATCAATATAAAATTTTAAAACCAAAAATCATTATCTTATAAAATGAACGTGTATAGTGTTCTATAATAGCCAATACTTTATGTTTCAAAGTATGTGAAGAAACAAAGACTTGATAGAGGTGTCAAATGGGCAAGTATTTCGGGCTTGATCCATAAAAATAAGGCTCACTCAACCTTAGGCCTAATCAGTCTCAGCATGTGTTGACCATGAAAATTGATCACAAATTTAAGGCCGAAAATAAAA